AATATATTTTTCCTTTTTCAAGCCCTGGAAAAGGGGACTCAACTGCTAACAAAGGCCTATTAGGTAACGTTAAAAAACAAGACAGTTTTTTAAAAGACTATCCCAATATAATTCAGTCGATCAGACAAAGGGAACTCTACTCTTCTTATGGATAGGAGTGAATACCACCAAAAAGTAGTTCGGATGCTGAGTGAACTAATATATACCAATCCACCAACTGGGACCCTACAAATAAATTTCAGACCATCGCAAACAAAATGGTTACTAAGGTAAGAACACAGAACCTGATCAGCATTAGAGAGGAAAAGGAATTGAAACGTCACAACTCAGTTTCCCCAAAACTTTGCTGTTCGAGAAAGACACATAAGCCGGGTTTACATCTAAGGCCTAGTTAGCTGTGTCAACTTACCGGGATACAACATAGCTAAGTATTTCCACAAAATACTCAATCCCCTAACAACTACATTTCACTTTAATATAAAAGACTTTTTTCATTTTGCAGAGATAATAAAAGAACATGTAGTACCTGAAGGACATGTCCTAGTGTCCCTAGATGTAATTAGTCTCTTCACAAACATACCAAAGTGTATATAAGTTTTCCATTTTGTTTATAGATCGTTCAAACACTTCTCGAAATGCTGCAAGTTTGTCGGCCTCTCTTCTTTGACCTCTCGTGTGTTTATCGTCAAACCGGAGGCGGTTTACTAAAAATCTAAAACGTGCTTCTGGAATAGTTGCTCGAAATATTGGTATGCCGCTGTCTCTATCAAAAAGTTCTTTGGTAAATACGACATTCATCTTCATTACTCCAGCATCATAATAAAATAAACCGATTAGAGCCTGGATTTCAACATTCTTGGTGTCTCTGGTGTAGGAAACAGGTGTATCTTCAGTATTATTATTGTCAATTTTTTTCCCATATTTTAGTTTTTGAACTTTTATTTCTTTGTTGGTAAGGTTGGTATATTCTGTGATTTGATCCAAATTTTCTCTGGTGAAACATAACTGCCATGCTTCTATTCCTGATTGTATTTGCCTTGACTCAATTTTATTTCCAGGTACTTAAACACAACACGAGATTTCTTTTAGATGTACGACGAACTGATGCTCCTTTCATACCAGATCATTTGAATTGATTTTTACCTGTTAGTTTGTTGGGAACCTTCAAAATTTTAACCTTAGCTTGGTCCGCAAGCTGTACCTGTGCGTTGTACCAACAGTATATCTTCCTCAGAATCATCAGAAGCCATTGGTAGAGGATTTTATAATTGAGCGGAAGGTATGGGATCATCTTCAGTTTCGGGCAGTAAGGTATTCTGGGAAAAAGAAACAGCAATATCAAAATCTGTTCGGTTTTCGTCAGTTTCAAACTCACGTCCTCCCCTTGAAATCTGGTATAATAACATTTTACTCATCGCTCCCGTCCTCAGAACCTCAGAACGATCAGAATCGTTGAGCACATTCTGTATTTCAGCCATGTCATTGGATTAGATCCAAAATTTTTTTTTTGAGAGGCCATTTTTTGCGCCTCCGAAAATAATAATTAAACTATTCTGCTAAACTGAAATACACCTGTACCCCTGATATCAAATATCTCGAAAACGGAAAATGCACTGTGCGTCATGAACTCAGGTTACATAAGATGAAACTACTCAGGAGGCCACGGCCGCAGCTCCATCTAGTTCTGAATGGCGGGATTTTTGAATAGTGCTAGGGTACAAGTGTACCCCAAATAGCATTCCAGGGTTAAACTAATCTAGTCATGAATCATCTCATCAGCGCAGGTATAACCATTAGGCGGACTAGGCGGCCGCCTAGGGCCTGGGCGCTGAATGGGGCCCGAAATTCACTCTGTAATCAAATATCTTATTTTGGCAATCTTGCGCCCTGAGACGCACCACACCATCCGAATTACGCACACTATCGGCAACACTGTTCTGTAGCTGTGGGATTCCCAACTCAGGTAGAGTCCATTCAACCTTATGTCATGTTGCTGATGAACATCCGTTAAACGAGTAATAGATAATAGATACGAGATGTTCCACAGTTCCACTACCCAGACAGCACACAAAGTCTTGAAGACGTCTTTTCTAGGGTCTGTATTACGATGTCTAAACGTCTGAAGACCAAAAAAAGACGCCTAGAAGATGTTGTTTTGAAGATGTTCATGTAAAGTATCGTAAATTCATATCTTTCTCTTCTTCAAGCCTAAAAGTGAATAATGATTTATGTATTGAAAAGAGATTCAAAAACGTCTTTGAGACATCTCTTTGAAGATTTGAAGTAGTCTTTAGAATGTCTTAGTGCTGAAGACATCTCTAGGCAGATCTCTGGAAGACGTTGGGTTTTGTTACATTACGACGTGTTCAAGATGTTTTTGAGACGTAGGCAAGACGTCTTGAATGTCGTTTATGGACATCTTAGGGACGTCTTTGGGAAAAATTTCCCACAGAATTCGTTTCTCATTTAATTCAGAAGTTACTGGAAACCATTTAAAATGCTACAGAACACTTTAGAACTTTAATAGACCTTTTGAAAAGTTCAGAACATTTAAAATTAAATTCAGAATTTCCAAAAACATTCTGTAGCACTTCAAAAAATTTTGGAAATTTCAGAACCATTCTAGAATGCCCCAAAACATTCAAACACCGATTTCCAAAAGCATTTTAGAACAACTCAGAAGGTTGAAATCCATTTTAGGACGCTCCAAAACACTCAAACTCAGACTCTCTGGAATCCCCAGAAACATTTTGAAAAGCGCCAGAATCTTCAGATTAAGAATTACAAAACGCCTTTAGAGCAAATTTTGATTGCTGTAGAACTTTAGAACTCTTTAAAGGCATTTGAAAGTTCAAATCTAAATCAGAATTTTCAGGAGCATTTTGGAGCAATTGAGAAACTTCAGAGTTATTTTAGAACAATTTCAAAGTTCTAAATTTAATCCTAATTTAGAACTGGAAACCTTTTAGAACTTTTTGAACCAATTTAGAACTTTTTGGAGCTTCAATGGGGCTCTAAAATACTTAAAAATCTGTCAGGAACAATTTAGAAATTACTGAAAAACTTCTAGAATGCTTTAGAACTCTTCAAGCCAAGTTAGAACACTTTAGAACTGCGAAAAGCCATTTAGAACGTTCCAAAACACTTTCCAGCAGCATTTTGAAAGGCTTTTTTTTTTTCAATTTGGACAAAAATAGTAAAAAGTTACTTTGGGCTAAGACCCCATACCTTCTGCCGCCTAGGGCCCGGTAGAGCCTTGAACCGGCGCTGCATCTCATCACTGAAGTTTTAAAAAGTCTACAGTTCCATGTCCCATTCATATTTGTCTATGCTGATGATTCAGTATTGTCAGCTCCTCAAGACCAACTGAATGTACTACTAGACACCTTCAACAGCTTCCATCCATCACTCCAATTCACGATGGAGATAGAAAATGGAAACAAAATCTGTTTCCTGGATATGGAGATCCATCGCAAACCTAATGGTACCCTTATCACAAATTGGTATTCAAAACCCTCTACTTCTGGTAGGATTTTAAATTATTTATCAAACCATCCTCTCTCCAACAAAATAGGAATCATTAATGGATTGTTACACAGAGCCATCAATCTAAGCCACCCAGAATTTCACACCACTAACATCGAAAAAGTCAAAAAACGATTAATGAATTTGAAACTGGCCACCTTTTCAAATTTGATGAAGTTAAAATGGTAGACTCTGAACCTCAGATTTATAAGCGAAAGGTGAGCGAGATGATTCACATAAATTTAAACAGTACAGTATCTTTGTGATTATAATTAATGTTGGTGATTGTTTTTAACTAGTTTTAGGCCTTGTTTGTGATAATAGTTTATTTTGGTTTATTCTTTATGTTTGCCTAAATTATATTTTCGATTCAGAAACTTGTATTTTTTAAAAATATTTACTTTATTAATTAAAATACAATAGTGACAAACGAAAATATGTGGATCAAATTGCTACAGGGAATGCCTGAAAACATATGAACGCTCCGTGAGGGAATACGCTGGCTTAAATAAGAAATATCTGCTGATGCAGCACTTACGTAAGCGGAATGGTGGTACTACCAGTGGAGTACCGCTGATTAAGCAGTTTTACATTATTATAGGTTTTGACATAGGCGTACGCTTATAATTATCATAGGAAAGGAGAATTAATAGTATAAAGATAACATAGGGTCTTAAAATATAATTCCTACACAAACTTAGTTTGTAACCAATTGTAGGGAACTTTAATCATAATTAGTAGTTTCCTTTAATTTTAAATTTGTCTGTATGTTTTCCTTGTTGGTATTGGTTACATTGGTTTGTTATTTAAGTTAAGTGTTTAATTTGTAAACGTTCCCTCTTAAATGGTTTCCGTTCAGATATCTCATCAGTCATCACCCATCACTACTACTAATATAACCTCACAAAATCAGCTGTGAAAATCAGTTAGCTAAACATTCAAATTAAAAAAAAAAAGGATTTTTTGGAAAAATTGTATGCTATCAATAGTATATTTAAAAATATGTTCCGAAACGTTGCCGAAAGCTTGATAGTTTCTTTTTTGATCCTGTCCCCTAACCCATGAAAGTAAAACATGATCTTCACAAGGACACGAAATGATCGCAGCAAAAACTTTTTAGTTACCTAACTCGAAACTGTTATAGAAAAAAGAAACGATGATACAGAGCTTTTAATCAAATCCTGTTTCATTTTTATTTTCAATGCATAATTAACCCAATATTGCAACTACTACGTCCTAAACGACACCGCCTAAATTAAACTCTAAATTTCGATTCAATTATCGGTTTGTCTATATGCGGTTAGTGAGCTGACCTAAGGCCCTAATCTGATTTTTCTTCCCTCGTACCCAGACTCCTTAATTAAAGCCCAATATTTGTCCTGGGCCGTGTGTGCTACTGCACAAACGACTCAGCGAAAATTTCTCTCTCCGAAACACTACGCCGGAATACTAAAACTAAATTTTGTTTTTTCCAGGTCCAGCCTTCTGGGGTCTGATCAATCCGGAATGGTCGTTGTGCAACAAAGGTAGGCGCCAGTCGCCGGTGAATTTGGAACCCAACAAATTACTGTTTGATCCGAATTTGAGGGAGCTACACATCGATAAACATAGGGTAAGTATTTAGCCAACGCCTCTATTATTATTTGAGCATTAATATTAGATTATGGCTCTGAAAAAGCTACACGGAAGTAAAACTATACATTAAGGTTAACGATATCAAGTAATTTGATCTTGTGATTTCTAGTGTAACGAATTAAGTTTTAGTTTTGTCTAAGTACTTTATTTGGGTTGTTTTCCGAATTAATGAAAAGCTGATGTTGCTATCGATCTCAAACCCTAAATAACTAGTTCCCATGCTGACCACTCTCGAAGTTTTAAGCTAATGTCCCTTATAATCACACAGAGAGTGCCAAATCTCCATCTCTCTTCGTAGTATTTGAACTTTTACGGGCAAAGTGGCTTACGGTCCGGTCTTTGTTAGTCTTATTTACAACTTTGTAAAGGATTTAAATATTGTGCATAGGACCGTAATAGAAACTTTCCTCATTGTTGTTTTTTTTCAGGTCAGCGGAAACATTTTGAATACTGGACACAGCGTCATATTTACCGTGCACAATGACACTCATAGTCATATAAACGTGTCTGGTGGGCCTTTGTCGTATCGATATCAGTTTCAAGAAATCCACATCCATTATGGACTGCATGATCAGTTTGGGAGTGAACATAGTATTAATGGATATGCATTTCCAGCTGAGGTAAGAACGTAGAATATACTCATTAAACTTTATTTATACAGTGTTGCGCAACACTGACTGATTACGATAATCAAAGAGACAGGTGCGTTAATAATTCATGTGCTAGATAGCTCGGTAACTACCATCCCTTAGAATAAAGGGGTTTCAGGGCTTTCTTATGAGATTCGTGAATCTTTGGGCGAGCACATGGACTATAACCTCACTTTCTGAATCAGATCATTTACGAGGCTTAAAAGTAGGCAGTCCAAAAAATACTTGAAGTATCTCACTGGTTGATAACAACCAATCCATCTCTCTTTGGTACAGGATGGCTCAAAACAATTTTGGGTAGGGATCTCGCCACTCGTTGGTTTTGACGTAAAGTCCACTGTCGAGCCAAAATCGAGATAGACAAAACCTCATATTATATTCTGTAATGTTATATTAAACACAAATCCGCGATCATTAACGTGCACCATTCAAGACTCAACGATTGGGGAGACTTTTTCAAAGATCTCTTTTAAATCGATTCTAAATTATTATAAAGTTTCACAAGTAGTGAAAGTATCCGCTGCTGCGGTCATACGTAAGGGCGGTTACACACGGACGTGGATGTCCTAATACATATACGTGCATACATCAACGTGCAACCAAAAACGTGCATGGCGCTTTTGTACAGACGCTCGCACAAAACTGCAGTCTTGCTATTCTTGCTACAGTGTTCCGAGTGGGCATACAAAATTGCACATTCAAAAACGCGACGGTATTTTGCATACACATTGATGTTTTTGTTTGCACGTTCATGTATATGCATACATGCTTTCAGACATCCACGTCCGTGTGTAACCGCCTTAACAGAACAACAGTTGTCCGACACTCGTTGGTGTCGCTACATTTCGGATCAGAGTTTCGGAATTCGCAGATGTGTTTCACGATTTATCGCCCTCCGGTCGAGCGCTTATTGATTTGCCGATTAAGGCGCTATTAATTGATTAACTTTGCAGCGGTAATTTGGTATAAATGGCATTGTAGGGAACCGTTACGATCACTATTTGTCTTGTGCTAGACTCTAGTATTCAAACGCGGGAAACTATTTTTGAAAAAAAAAGTCCGATGAGGTTTACAAGTTCGACTCCTAGTTTAATTGCTTCAGTTTGTGTTTGTTTCATGAATAGTGGATAAGATAAAATTCATCTATGGAATATTAGTCGAGGATTGTTTGGACGATTCTGCCTCCTTGGGTTTATTCTAGACGTTTTGGAGAGAAAAAATTGCAATGGAAAATCTATTAGAATCGGAACATTTAGACATTTAAATCACACCTCTCTCCTTTAAATTTTCCCACTTTGAAGCATCTTCATACCTACGAATTCTTTTTTCCCAAACCGACATGTCTCCATACCTAGTAGCTACCTCTCTTTCTTCATTGGCGCTACAGCTCAAATTGGGCCCTGGCCTCCGATATCTCCCGCATCCACACATTGCGGACCAAGGCTTCTCTTCTCCATACTCTGATGCCCATGACTTCATATTCCCATCTCTTTCTCTCTTTCCACACATTCGGCTATCAAGTGTTGTCTTTGGTAGCCTCTTTTCTGACATACTGATCACATGACCCGCTATCGAAGTCTTTGTAGTCGGATGAATTCTGAGATTTTTCTGAGGAATTTCTCTGAACAGTTGGTATAGTTCGTGATTGTAGCGTGTTGTCCATATCTCATTCTCATTTACGCCACGAAGGGTTTTTCTTTGAGAAATCTCCAGCTTGCTTTTCAGGCTATCAGTCATGACTTATGTTGGATGTTTCCGGAGAGAAATACTTGTGACAAATAGAAGAATGTCTTATTTGCCACCTGTATTCCATTCTGCATTTCGCCTTCCTCGTTTCCCGATGTATTTATTTTAATTTCGAGGTTTTTGAAGATCTCATCCTTAACTCAAGTGCATCTGTTATTGTTGTTTCGGGTATGTCCCACCGTCTTCGTTTTTTGTGCGTTTATTTCGAGCTCGATATCTTTGGCTGGTTATTTTTGTCGTCTGCGTAAGCAGCTAATTGAATTAACCCAGATGGCCATAGGTTTGATCTTCCTACGTCTTTACGCCGCGTAGCTAAAATAAATGTACTTAACCTGTTTTACTTGTCACTTGGTAAAAGTACCCACTGAATTACACCCTTACGTACCGCGGTGATCACTTTGGCGCACAAAATAGGGGCAAAATGTGTGAAATTAAAATTAGTTATATAAAAAGACAGCAAAGAATACTTAAACTAAAGCTAGTATGATACCAATATGTTCCAAGTGATAGCAGCAGGTTCAATTAACCTGATTGGTCCTAGTTACAGGTTGTAGCTGGTATAGTCAAACCAGTCGTAAGGTTCAACAGTACCAAAACAAAGGTATAACTGTCCGAAAGGTGTAGGCTCTGGTAGAGGTAGCCTTATAACTGTGTAGGCTCCGATAGAGGTTGCCGTACACTTAAATACTGTGGATTAATCTGGATCGAGGTCTAGATTCGAAATCCTGGAGTGAGTGCGGTGGTCTTTACTCTACTCCTTAGGGCAGCTTTTCCCGAACGGATGATTGTAAAAATCCGAAATTATCGGTGAAATTAAGGTACTTTACGAAAACGTAACGCAACTCAATGTTCCATAGATTCAATAATTGATGACGTTATGAATATCGATGTCATGTTCCTACGATTTACTAATAAGCATTTGTTTCACCACAAAGAGTTGATCCACTTAAGAGCGATTCTATCTGAAGCAGGCTTGATATCCACCAATTATATTTTCTAAGATTGGTAGTAAACGCTGATTTAGAATATACTTGAATATCTTATAGGAAGGTAATTCTCCGATAGTTTTCGCAGCTCAACTTATCTCCTTTCTTGTAAATGGAGCAGACAGTTCCAGTTCTTCAGTCTTCGGTGATTCGCTCTTCTGTCTAGATTTCTGAAATCATTGCATGCACATCTGCTGGTATGTGTTCCTTCCTCGCTTTAATCAGGGGCACAGATCACCTGCATACAGATGCAAAAGAGCGGTGAATTCATGGTTCAAGGTTATATGTAAACACAAAAGGCTGGAAAACGCTCAGGCACTATAGATGATCGGTCGCGTTAATAATTGTCCTGAGGCGGACGATCTATGACATTCGGCAAGGGAGCCGGCTGCCATGATTTCGTAGCTTTGAATCGTCGACGGAAACGATACTTACTTACGCATCTGTATTTGTCAATTCCTTGTGACTTGATGTTGCGCTCTAATTGCATGCTTCGCCTCGCCAAACGTTGGCATCCCGATCACTTCCTCCCTTTCCCCTGTATTTCCATGTGTTAATCATTTTCTCGTCGTTAATACACACCCCAAGGAATAGAGAAGCAATGGAAAATGTTTTCGCAAATATCCATTGATGGATACGCATTGGAAGAAAAAGAAGAATCATTTTCTTGCGATACCAATAAATTTTGAGAGTATGTTTAGTTAGCCTCTCCTCTTGTCTCTTCAAATCATCTTTCTTTTGTTCTTCTTTCGATTTGAGCCTTATGAACTTTGTTCCGATCTTTTATAGACCTTCTGTACTCTTTAGCTTTGTTCCAACCGAGCAGGAAACCGTAATATTGCCGTCAGGAGCTAACTTAGCTTTCAAATTTTAAATTCAAAATAACCAATTTTTGTGAAAAATTGATTGCATCCCTTAAATATTATGATGAGAAGTGCCTTTGTCCATTCTGAACGGACTCCAGAAGCAATAGTTTAAGGCTTGAAAAAGGAAAAATATATTCCGAAACGTTGCCAAAAGCTTGATAGTTTCTTTTTTGGTCCTGTCCTCTAACCCACGAAATTAAAACAAATCTTTGCAAGGACACGAAATGATCACACTTTTTATACTATCTTGGTGTAGGGACACTCAGCACACTCATCATGTATTTTTGGCTTGCAGAGAAGAGCAGTCAGGATGATCACGGACCTGGGCTACACTGACAATGTTAGCGGGGTGCGTGAAGACACATCATACCATTGTATAACGCACTTATACGTTCAGCCGTGGTATATTTGGGCTATGTGATTTAGCAGATTTTAGTAGGTTATACCTCGCTACAAAGCATCTTGTTGCTCCTATCTGTATATGTAATTTTAATGCGGATATAATAGTATACAGGGTGGCCAATTGAAAATGAAACAGAGGTGATTTTGGGCTCCCCAAGACATTTAAGAAAAAACCCTCGTACCCGTCGATTTTTGATTTAAGGGGGAACCATTTTCCTGGTGGTTTCACCCCTTGGGGGGCAAAGCCCTAGCGGGGGTGACAAGGGCCCCCAAATTTTTAAATGGAATGAGGGGTCGAGTGATACCTTATTTTGAAGCTATTTGTATGTAAATTATAACCCCCGAGTCTCACATCGCTACTATCTACCTAGCCATTACAGGGGCTAATTAAAGTTACAAAAACATGTTAGAATATTTTTATTTAAGAAAATGCTTTAAAAACAAAATCAATCAAGTAAATGCTGAAAATGACCTCAGAAGAAAAAATCTAACGGGCTTAAATCTGGAGAACGCGCGGGCCACTCCTTCGAATCCATTGCCCTTTGTCCTGGAAACCTTTGGTCCAAATATTGACAAATCACTGCAGCATAGTGGGGTGGCGCACCATTTTATTGGAATATTAGACGGTTTTCCATGTATCCGTTATCATTCTAGTATCTCCACTAATTCTGGATGAATCGCATCTTCTTATCACTCTAGGTACATTGCTCCTGTTAAATTTATAGGTAAAGAAGGGGTCTATTATACGGTTACCAAAAATGCTAGCCTAAACACTCAATTTATCGGGATGTTGCGTATGTACCTCACGAAATATGTTTTCTTGGATTTGAATAAGCCCAATAGCGGCAGTTGAGACGATTTACCGTACCGTTCAAGAAAAAAGGAGCATTCATCAGAGAAATATACAAACTGCTGCTTCATTTATTGAAAAAAAATAATTGGGTTATGAGTTGTTCAATAGTGAGGGAGG